AAGCGAAGTAAAAAGTATCGATTTTCAGCATTATAAGTAAGCCTTTAAGAACCAGGACTGTCAAAAGCTCTCCCACCTTTCTTCACAGCATCTCCATAGTTATAATTTTGGTTTTGCGGCGGCAGTGAAGGGTTTTAATACCATGACGGAAAACTTGAAGTCGATACCGTACCGTTTGTACCGAATACATCCAAAAATCTTGTTCTTTAGATGTTATTGTTATGTTAGGTCTGAAAAGCCTTTAACTAAGAGGTTCTCTTTTTATTGAACCAAGTCAAGACAACACCATAGAAATATGCGTCTTCTATGGAGCACAACAAGACCTTTAACGAGCTGTCGAAAAATATTTCAACTCTGTTAGTAGAACTTATCATATTTCTATTGCAAACTGCATTGCCCGTGGTGGCCGGGCAGGCTTGCAGAACTCAAACCGCTAAACCCAATTTTCGACGGTTTTCAAGTATGAATTAGCCGATACTGCTCCAATATCATACTTCACGTTCGATATTCGTACGAAGTTCATCAATTGTCACTGGCTACTTTGTATGAGTCATAGAATTGACGTACCACTACAGGAAATAGACTAACGGCGTCAAATCGCATGACCGAGGCAGCCAATTGACTGGGCCATTTCGTGAGATAACGGATTCACCAAATATGGTTTTCAATAAATCGACTGGAACGTTCACTTTCGGCGCCGTCCAAGTCCATATCATCCAGTTCGGGTCAAGAAGATTCCGTTATCATTGAGCGGTAGACCAAAGACGCCGCCGGCCCATAAACCGCTCAAACCGTAATTTTTTTGATAAGTAATGGTGACTCATGGATTGCTGCCTCACAAATAACACATCTTTTGCTTATTAACGAAGCCATTCTGTCAGAAATGAGCTTCATTGCTGAAGATAATTTATTCGATGAAAGGACAAGGCACAAGGACGCCACAGAGATGCCAAACGATTAAGAATGACGTGCGAGAGATGGATCTGGGTTATCAATACTCTCGACACTTCGGGCCCTTCTTTGTCTCCCTGGCACGGGAGCATTTTGCCTGTGGATTGCCTGTAGATGGCCAACTTTTGTACAGTCCCTATTGAAAATCCCGTTATCTAGTTTATGTTCGACCAAAGAAAGTCATTCACCACTGGTAAGGGTTTTCATTGCTAACACTATGCGGCATAATCAACTTTTTCCAGGTATTGGATCAAAGTAATTGTTACTCCAGATATTGAACTGTAATGAAAGTACTTTCACTGTTTTCTCCAGTTAGACTACGAAAACGAACTATTTTCCCTCGAAGATCGATATTAGATATAGTGGAAAATTATTAAATATAATAATTAGTGACTAAATCATCAAAGTTTTCTTCTTATTTCTACGTGTTATTTTGTGGTCAAACATTTATGACAGATACTAAATGTGGCCAAAGTCGTGTCAAACGTGAGCCTGCGATAATCTAAAAGCATCTTGGTAGTTTGAAACACTTAATGCAGCTTAAATATCCATTTTTTAAAAGTCTGGCTCTCAAAGGCCAAAAACTGTTAATCTCGTTTTCCAGCAAAACTACGCGTATATAGAATTTATCACGTTACCTCAAACTTTATGATAAAAATTTACAAACTGCATTTTTTGGGTATTTATATTTGTATATTTTGCCTTATTTTTTTAAAACTTATTGTATTATGTTTGAAACACACTTTTTTTATTAAGTATATTTTTTTGTATTCTTATATTCACCTAACATTGGCAAAAAATGCTATTTTTCAATCAAAGCTCTGATCAAAATTTATCTTTTCAAAAATTATTAACGCTGGTCTAAAGCTTTTAAATTGTATGAATAACCGTTTGGTAATGTTGAACCACAATGATAAGGGCACTAATATGTATGCCGTGCGACACACTGGAAATACTATCCAGAAATTAAGTGAAACACCAAAGCTAAATTGCTGCTGGCCCCATAAAGCTGTTACTCAATATGACTCAGGCATTGCGGCGCTCTCTGGTTACATCGGTGGCAAATGCGTAAAGCTACTTTAAGCTCAATCACAACGGCGTAAGCCTGCATTACGCCAGGTATGTGGCATCAAAATTAAATTAAGGTATGCTAAATGTTGAGCAGCTCTAAGCTAAAGGGTTGCAAAGTGCTCAATGAACATAATTGTTCTAATCTAGGGTGCGGTAGCTAATTTGGTGTAGTATGTAACTAACGTTAGTGCGAGCGTGGTTCAAAACTCCGCTGGGAGAAATTTCTAGATAGCAGTATAACTTACTCTAAACACTTGCAAAAGTATTTGCTATTGAGAAGTGCTTTCGCCTGACACCGATTATAAATCATTCGATTCTTTTAAAGAAATAATCGGATAAAATTGACCGAACCACTGGCAACTTTTACTTGCTATTAGAGGACCCATCCACGTTTTACCATGGCTGATACATAGGTAGTACAACTAATATCATCTACATATATGTATGATTTCTATTATTTAGATTATAACAATTAGTTAAGGAGATATCGCATTTTTGGTGAAGCAACTTGTGTTAGTTTACAAAAAAATTGATCAAAAAGCATTTGGTGCGTTAAGTTAGTTAGTTTTTGGGGGAAAATTGAATTTGAGCTGTGCACCAGCCTAGTGGACTGCATATTATGAAACGGTTCTTTTGCGTAGCAAGACAAAAAATCGGCTGGCAAGGTTATGGCATCAGTCAGGATGCCCAGGGTATACTATTCATCAAATGATTACTGAGCCCGTTTTAATTCATTGCACTGTGCATTTGGTTGCAGTTCTATTTCACTATTCCCAATATTTAGCAATATACTTATCCTTCGAAAAGATTGCTGTACTATATCTCAAATTATAATAGACCTTTTTATCAAAACTTCAGTTATGCCGCTATATTTTTATTCTAGATATTGCATTTGGTTTGTTATGATTGCATTTGCGTCCTTCGCCCATAATCTAATAAAGTATCCGCAAAGCCTTGACGGCGCTTGTTATGCATTCTTGTTCTCTCCAATAGTTAGCAGGTATAAAAAAAAATTTAATGGCTACCCATAAATGTACTGAATCATCGAATTTATTACTTAAGAACGAACAACCCTGTCCACATTATGAAAACTTGCTATTGGTCTACAGATGTCGCCTCTATCGGATCCCATGTAAAACATTCCAAAATTACAAATTAATTAAAAATGAAGAATTAGTTGCAAAAAACATTTGCTAGTGGATCAAATTGTGGATCTAAACCATTCTCGAATCTCCTTGAACACACAAAAAAAAGTTCATCGAAATCGGTCCAGCCGTTTAGAAGCAGTTCGTTTACAAACACACGGTCAGAAGATTTTTATATATAAAGATTATCAATATATAATTGCATCAGCGGTGAGTCCACTGCTTGCTCACAGGACAGTGCTTGTAAAGTCAGTCTAGTTAAGCGCTTGTTGGATTTTAGCTCATTACTTCAATTAGTTATTAACTGCTACAATTTAGCGTGCATTTCGAAAGTTTTGCTTTCCGCTAAGCAATATTTGTGCGCCTTTTAATTTATAATTAATGTAGTACTCACAATCCCCCAGCGAGCAGCAACTTACTCGGCGTATAAAGTACGTTTGCGTTCTACTCCTATATTTTAAAGCCAAGCTACACTTCTCCCAAGTGCTTAAGTCAGCAAGTGGCAAAGTATGGCAACTCACTTAATTCAATTTATTTCAATACTTTACATTATCTCTCAAAGCTACTTTCATTTAGTTATTTATAGCAGCGTGAAATTGTGTGCTTGTAGTTGTTTTGCGAGTACGTAAGTACCGTTTGTCTATTTCCGTTTTCGACACTTCAAAATAATTCCCTCCTTTGTGCGCTGAGTGCGATCTCCCAGTGCATCTAATTTGCTTTGCGCACAAGCACAAACGGTTATTGCTACGGTCAAAGGCAACTCTTTAGCGGCGTAAGTACGCATCTTTATCTATCAGTGCCATTGTCTAATTTCGACTGCAACTGCAAGCTGCGCAAAGCGGAAATGGTATTACTGAAAAGTAGAAAGTGCCGTAAAAGGCAGGCAATAACGGTGAAAAAACTAAAAAAAAACATATCAGAGAAGCTAGTGTAAGAGTAAGGAGCAGAAAATAATCATAGAAATACGCATTAAAAAATAATGAGTTTGAAACTCATATAAGGCAAGAGCAGTGTTTGGTTGCCATCTCTCTCGTTTCATGGCACATACAATATTCATACATGTATTATAATATATTGTCGTAAGTCAACTAAATATGTCTAAATGCATATTGTCGTCCTGCGCTTCTTCAAATCATGAAAGTAATGCTCAAACTCGTTTTTGGGATAGCTTCAGCCCTTTACGCGATTTTCAGCTATCTTGTGAAACGACGACCTCTTGATTTTTGGAAGTACTTATGTAAAAGTCAGCTATTTCTGGCGAATATGGACAGCAAAGTTTTAATCTTTAAATTATCTAGGGCTGTAGAAATCTAAACCAGCCCTCTGCAGGATTGAAGGTTGAAAATTGTAATAGCTACATGCCCTATGCCCAACTAATTCGTAGTTTTAATTCCTTAAATAATATGTCTTCAAATTTAGCGTTTCCTGCAAAAACACCACCAAAAATATATATCCCAACTTTTCTTTCTTTTTCAGCACAATTGAAGGGTTTAATTAAAACAAAAAAAAAAAAATATATATATATATATATGAGTACGTTAATCTCTGTAAACTTACCAAATCCGCAATATTCGCCACCTGTATAGCTGTCTCTTATACACATCTAGATGTGTATAAGAGACAGCACACATACATGCATGCATATATGCTCACACATACACACAATATCCATTTACG